AAATATATTCTAGTGGACTGCAAAATAGTCTGCTAGGCAAAATTACATAACCCTTCTGTTTCCTGGTATGTGAATTGGAGATAATAATACAAGTATACCTCGTGTTATTGTGCTTCGCTTTATCGTGCTTTGCAGGCATTGCATTTTTTTCTTTTACAAATTGAAGATTTGTGGCAATCCTGTATCGAGCAAGTCTATTGGCACCAGTTTTCCAACAGCATTTGCTCATTTCATGTTTCTGTGTCACATTTGCATGCTTGTTGCAATATTTCAGATTTGTCATTATTATTATACTTGTTATGATGATCTGTGGTCAGTGATTGTGACTCACTAAAGGCTCAGATAATGGTTAACATTTCTTAGCAATAAAGTATTTTTAAAATTAAGGTATGTACACAGTTTTTGTAGACATAACACTATTGCACACATAGAGTAGAGCATAAACATAACTTTCATATCCTCTAGGAAACCAAAAACTTCATTCAGCTCAGTTTATTTCCTTTTGGTTTTTCAAGATTTTATTTATTTATCTGAGAGAGAGAGAGCACGTGCAAGCATGAGCAAGGGAGGGGCAGAGGGAGAGGGAAAAGCAGACTTCCCACGGAGCAGGGAGCCCAATGCGGGGCTCGATCCCAGGACCCCGGGATCATGACCCGAGCCGAAAGCAGACGCCCAACGACTGAGCCACCCAGGTGCCCTGCCAATATTACTTTAATCCTCATCTTGACAGTTAAATGAAATAGCACATATAAAGAGCTTAGAATTGAATCTGACACACTGTGTGATCAATAAGTGTTAGTCAATATTAATATTATCCATGGCTTTTGAATTATACAAAGCAATGACTTCTCCTTTTTGCTTAAGCTGGTTTAAGTTGGGTTTCTATCACTTGCAACCAAAAGGGTCTTACTTAATACAATTTACATAAAGTCCCAGAATATATGGGTTTATGGCTGACCAAATTCCTTTCTGTAGGCTGAGGCAGAGAAGGAGGATTGAATTAACTGAATCTGGACCATCTGGCTCCTTTTAGTTGATGTCATCAGTAATTTTACCTGAGTAATTTTTCCAACTCCTGGTTAGGAAAAGTTTTCTCATACCATCTTATTTATATTCACTAAAATCCTCCTCCTTCTATGTTATCAGTTAATAATATCCTGGTACGATTATTTGTTCTTATAAAAATACAAAAAGTGGGGAACCACACATTAGAGAGAGAAAATGAAAGAAATATTTCTATAATTAAAACATTTTCTATTGTTTTTTAGGTCCTTGGCCTGAAGCTGGAAACTTTTTACATACTAGTTTAGAGTAAATAATATTATAACTAAGCAGTCTACATGCTAAATCGCATACTTTCTGGGTGTAGATTTCTGGAGGGACATGCAAGGGATTTGCATGTTTAATTCCCATTAGCACCTGTCACTGGGATTTATTATCCCAGAGTTAATTCTCCACTCATTGCAGCCAAGAAAAAGGAAGCCCTTGTACATGGATTTAAATGAGGCTTTTTATTTTTCAAAATGAGATGAATTCCATGTTTGTTCCTCAAACACCTGCAGTATTCCAACCCTGAAAAAGTCATATTTAAATTCATTTTTGGTGAAAATTTCCCCAAACTTGAATTTATTCAATAACTAGAAAAGCCTGTTCATAATTTGAAATTTTGTCTCAGAGGAAAAAAAGGCTTCCATCCAGGACTTCGCTAGGTTTTAAAATTCATTGGCTCTCATTCTTCCATTCAATATTCAATAAATGTTTATTGACCACCTATTATGTGCCAGGCAGTTTTCTAGGTTCTGGATACAGAGTGGTGAAAGCACTAGGAAAAAAATTCCTCCCTTTGAGGAGCCTCCATTCTACTGGAGAGTATACATACATACAGATACATAAACACATACACACAGGCATACACACACACACACACGTATACACATATGCATACATGCACGCATACACATACATAGAAGTAGACATACATATACACGTACATATACATGTTTATATAAAAGAAGTGCTATATGGAAGATCAAAGCAAGTGAATGCAATGGAGTGTTAAGGGGTATATGCTGTTTTAGGCTGTTGGTCAAAGAAGATCTCTCTAAGCAAGGATATTTGAGCCCAGATTTAAGTGAAGTCAGTTAATAATCCTATGCTCAGAAGCCTATGCAGCACTTCATTATCTATTTCATAAAGAAAAAAAAATACAGGCAGAATGTTGGTACACAAGGCAAGTTCCATCTGCAACCATGGGTTGTAGGAAACTCTCCTGCTTAATAAAGCTGATCCATTTGCTGGTGCTTTTCCTGTCCTTGCTCTTGTGTTCTCACTCTCCCCTCTGTTTTCCACCTCATTTCTACATGCCATTTCTCAAACCATTCTTCTGCCCTCTTTAGGCAGAATTTCAGTATTGAACTACTTTTTTCTTCTTGTCTCTTCCTCTTTCTTTCAAAGAACTAATTTCATGCAATATCTGTCCTTGAGCACTTCAATGTCCCAAACAAGATTATGTAACAATTTAATTCTGTTTAACTAACTAGACTTTGAGGATTCTTTCCTACTGAGACTTTTTGACAATCAACCAATATTGATTGAGCACCGACTATATATTGGGCTCTGTCTTTAAAAGCTGCAGATGAAATGAAAAAGAACAAGGCAAAGTCTCTGCCTTAAAAAGAGGGAAATTCTAGCTAGAAAAGATAAGCAATGAAATTGTAAATGAATAAACAAAAAACTTTTAGATATTGCTACTATCACTATGATAGTGAGCATATGTGAGGATTTCTTAGTAATTAAGCTGCTGTCCTTCCTGGAAAAATTGTAAAGACAGATATGAAACATAATCATAAGTCCTTCTGGTGGTATAATCCTCCAAATAAATGACGGGTATGAGCTGCCTAGCTGCACTGTCCATCATAGTGGCCACTAGCTGTGTGCCTATTAAAATTAAACTAATGAATTACATTAAAATACCTAATTCATACTAGCCACATTGCAAGTGCTCAGTAGCCACATGTGTCTAATGACTACCATTTTGGAGAGCATAAATGGACATGTTCCTCATTGCAGAAAGTTCTGTTGGACAGCACCAGTCTAGATAGCATGCAGCTGATGAAACTCATCCACGGCAAGAATAGCAGGTAACAATTTTGTGTCAGGCACTTCTCATATCTTTAACTCGTTTCTCACAGAGCCCTATAAGATAATTACTGGTACTAGACCTATCTTACAGATTAAGAAACTGAGGCACCTAGCTTTATTTTTCAGTATCTGTCAGCTAGTCATAAGAAATGCTGAGAATTGAACCCAGTCTGGAGCCAGAAGCTACCCTTTTACCAGAAGATTGTGGTATCTGTGTATGGGTAAGGGAAGGTGAAGAGGGTAAAGAAGAGCTTTTAGCATGACATGCAGTGCCTCCATAGGAACAAGAAATGGCCAGATTTGTCAGTGTCTTTGCCAAGGCTGACCTTTTCAGATCTACTGGACTCATTAAAGACAGGTCTTGTTGGCTAGAGGTTCAGATGGAGCTTAGCAGGCAGAATCATGGAATGCTAGCACTGAAAAGAACTTTAAAGCCATCTAATGAAATATTTCACAGATGAAGAAACTGAGACATGCAATTTACCTGACCTGTCCGGGATAACAGAGTGAGATCACAGGCCTCCCGCCTGTGTGTGTGTTTACACATTGCCCCCTTGGCACCAAGAGCTTAAAATTTCCCTGATATATTATTTATTATTAGTTTAGATATGTACTAATCTTAGGAAGTGGTTTTCCTCTTCCCAGAATGTTGGACTGTCAATGTGTATCGACCTTTTTAATCCATCCACTTTTCCTTTTGTCTAGCCTGTCATTTTATCCACCCATTCTTACATTCCTCCTTCGTCATTACAACAGAGATCCATAACCTAGCTACCCAGACTATCCTTTCCTTAAAAAAATAAGTAAGTAAATTAAATAAAAAGGTAAAAAATTCATAGCAGTTCAAGTCCTTACTCACACCGTTAGCAATTTGGAAAACATGTCATAGGTTCCACCATCACTTTAAGTGAATGTCTACAAATTTTGTTATTTTGTTGTGCATTGTTTCTGGGAGTTCCCGTGCCAGGTATCACCTCACCACCCTTCACATACTCAACATTGCCAGCCACCAGGATGCACGCAAATAAAGTCTTTTGAAGAATGAGTTTTCCTTTAGCTTTTGGTTTCTGTTCCACTACGGAGAAGTCATGGGCACCCAGAACACTGAGCAGTCTGAGTGGCGCTGACAACCCCAAGATTGCAGCAGGGTTGGGACACTGCAAAAGCTTCTTGCCTTCTTCCCCACCACGCAGGACTTCAACTCGAGCCCGCACCCAGCTTAATCAATCGCAAGACCCCAAGTCAGTCGTAGAGCGAGTCCAGTCCTGGGGAGTCTGGCGCAGGCTTTGCTGGCGCCGTGGAGAAGCTGGCAGGCGGCGGGCTGACCTCCAGTGGACTCAGCCAAGAGGCTCGGGGCGCGCCCGCTGCGCTCCTGGAGTCCGAGTCTGGCGCACCGCGGGAGGCAGGCGCGCTCCCACTCTCCGCAGCAGCCTCTGCCCTCAGGTTTCTCTCGCCGAGGCTTCCGCGGGTAAACCAACAGCCGGTCTCCACCTCAGGCGCTGGGCGCGCATCTCCCTCCAATCCTTGCTTACATAACGCGGGCGGGCGCGCTCCCGCCGCCGCTTACCCCCCAGCGGAGTTGGGCTGCGCCCTCCACGCCTCCACGGAGAGCGCCTCCGCGCACCCGTGCGCCCCAACGCTAGGAGGTGACCCTCCTTGGCCACCCAGCAGCGGCAGCCTGGACGTCTCTCAGGGGCGTGAGCACACTGAGATTGGAGACCCGAGAGCCCCACTGTGCCCAGCTCCCTCCCTCCGCTCCCACCTCCTCCCACTTCTCGCTTCCTCTCCCTCCCCGCCTCCCCCCACCCCCCTTGCCTGTGTGTGTTCGGCACAGAAGAGGGGACCCGGAGAGCAGTCCAGGCTCGGCGCGCCGCGGAGCTGCGGCTGTTCCTGCTGCTGGCGGGGGGAGCGGCGAGGTGGCCGCCTTGCGCCTCCCCGGACTTCCCAAGTGGGGGCAGAGCAGCCGCTCACCGAGCCGCCAGTTAGAAGGCTCAGGGAAAGAGGGACCGCCAAACTCCTCCTCAGCGTCTCCTCTCCACCCCCTTTTGGCTCCTGCCCTTGGAGAAAGTGGAGTGTGGCTCTTGGTTATCATTATTTCTTCGGACTGCTTCGTGGTGCACGGATTCAGCTGCTTCCCAGTGGGGTTTTCCGCTGTTGGCGCGTCTCTCTGTGTGGTTCCTGCCGGCACACCTCTGTCGACGATGAGGAAAGGTCTACGGGCGACAGCGGCCCGCTGCGGACTGGGACTGGGATACGTGCTGCAAATGCTCGTGCTACCTGCCCTGGCCCTGCTCAGTGCCAGCAGTACCGGCTCGGCCGCTCAAGGTAAGAGAGTCCGCCAAGCTCCGCGGCCACCTCCCTTCGCTTCTTCCTTGCCTCCTCCTTCCACTCCTGCTCCCCAGTTCTCTGGGCTTCCTTAATTTGCCTCGTTGCTTTCAACTAGAAGTCAGTTCGCGTTCCACTTTCCCAACTAGTCAAGAAGCTTTGGTTATTATTATTTTTAATCCATCTTCCGAGATGGGCACGGATGGACCAGGGACGCACACGGGGTGTGGACCTACATCTATCTGTCTCTGGGCATGTGGGCGCCTTGGGTGTCTTTTGCACTTTCTGCTCCACGCTCACACGTTGTTGCATATTGGTCACACAGAGGTTTGCCTCGACTCTCGGTGCGGGTGGCTGTGTGGCATTCCATAGGTACACCCTGATGCGCAGAGGCTCCCCGCGCTGAGCCACATCTGGGGTTGCGGGATCTTCAGGGCGTCTCTGAGCACGTTAGACGCCGAAGGGCGCTCAGCGAAGGAAATGTGTCCATTACCGCCGAGGACCTACCAGCTCCTCCGTTGCCACTCTGCTGCTGCTTGGGGCGCTGTGGACATGCACAGGGCACCCGGACCCGCCACCCAGCCAGCGGCAGGCCTCGGGGAGGTGCACGCCTCCACACTCTTACCCTTTCCGAGTCTTCCTCCCAGTAAGCCACGGAGAAACTTAAAACCCCAGAGCTCTGGGAAAACGGACTGGTTGTTCAAAGAGGAAACTCCCCCGGGTAATGGGCCAGTTTATAACTCTGACAATTTAATTTAACGCGCCTGAGCTTTAAAATAAGTGACCGGGGCCGTGGGCAAAACAGGGGTTGGGAGAAGAGCGGTCAGGAGTTGAGGGTGAATAAGGAGGGAGGGGAAGCGCGGGGGCTGATTGTCTTTTTGTCCCCCGAGTTTGAAGTGGTAGCGGCAGCTTCCAGCCTTCCGAGCCCAGGAAGCTGAGTGGAAGGGAGAGGGCCAGGAAAGAACCAACGCTGCACCCTCTGGGGTCTGTTTCGCGTCACCTGGGCCCCCAACCTTGTGGCCAAGCCAGCGCCCACTTCGGTCTTTTCGACCAGTTCTGTGGAAGTCGCTGGCTTAGGGGAGGCAGCTTTTTTTTTTTTCCTAGGGCGGGGGTGAAGGAAGCTTATGCAGCATTCGGAGGTAATTCAGGGATCCCATCATCTCGGTTACACTTCTTTCCAAATTTGGAGAGCAGAGGAGGTGCAGGGATAGCCTCGAACTCCCGGGGCGTTGCTCGGACACTCTTGGAGGTTCCTGACTGCATTCCCTCTGATTTGCGAAGGCTCTTGGGGGAGAGAGCTTTGGAGGTGGAGGGGAGCGCTGAGCGTTAGCGAGTGTGGTCCGAATGAAGAGGTAAGTGATTAGCAAGGCTTTGTGAATTAGCGATTGCTACTTCGGGAGTAAATTTTCCTGCTGCCTAGCTAAGTAGCCACGCTCATAAATCCTTCCTTCCCTTCTTACCAGATGCCTCCCATCCTCGAGGTTCTGCCCTGATTTTCTTATGCATACTTCCAGAGCTCATCTGCCTGTCCATTTTACAAAGGAATCCTATGAACGTGTTGTAGATTTCTTGAAATTGGTAAGAAGTTCTCCGGGCAGCAGCCAAGGGTGTTTAGAGAGGAGTGTTTGGAAGTTTAAGTGAACAACCTGATGAATAGTCGTGAAATCAATCGCGTGACTCCCTGTGGGATTAGCCTACTGTTATTGGGCGCACAGAGGACCCAGCCATGGGGTGGGGTTCAGGTGGAGGTCGGTCGGGGGAGGACTGGGCGGTGAGAGAACCCTTTGGGAAAAGGACAAGTTAAAGTCCCCAAAGATGCCAAACAGAAGCTATAGGATTCTTACCTAGAGCTTACTACAGCAACATTAAAAGGACTGGGTCGGAAAAAAAAAAATCAATAAAGATAATCAAACAGGAGATTGTAAGTGGATTAATATTGAGAGAAGGGAGAAGAGATTAAAAGAAAAAAAAAACGCTCAAGACAGACTGAGCGAGCTAGCTGTACCATTTGCACTTTTCTTACAGACCAGGCAATCCAAAGATTGGGGATTGAACCTGCTCCTCTAGTCTTAAATGGAAAAATAAAATGTATTCTGTAGGGTATATGCATTTCAGTGGTGTTCCTCTCCATTCAGTTTGTTTAGTTATTCCAGTTGCTGGTGAATCAATTGTTTGAATCTTATGGTCTCGAAAGACACTCTACTCCCACTTTTATCTTTGTTAGCCTCCATGCTTCAGGACACCGGCTCTTCCTGTGTTGTCTGTTAGGTATTAAAAATGTAGAAAACACCAAACTCAGCTACTATCACTATCACTCTAACCCATTTCCCAGCCTGCTTACTATTGAGCTACTAGTACACTTTCTTCTCAGAATCACACTTTTGTATCAGGCTGGCATTCAGACCTCCTTTTCCTTCTAATTTCTTCTCTTTTCTCCTCCCTCTTTGGACTAGCACACTAGGGAAACTGAAGATACTGTTGCTTCCTCAGGTATGATTTCCATGTGTTGAACACTTAAAGATGGTAATGATCTATTTTTATGAATGGAACTACATATGCAATTAAGATGAGAAAGTTAATTTGAGGACTTGACAATGTGGATGAGATTTATTTATTCTGTTAGAGAAGTACTAGAAAAATTAGCAGTTTTAAGAAAATATGTATGTCTTCAGAGGTAGCCAAAAAAAAAAAAAAAAAAACAACAACCCAAAACCAACAACAGATGTTTAAGATGAAAAAAGAAGTATAGTAGGTATTATTTGTGAGTATACTATATTTTCTAACTGTAGTTTAAATGAAGACAGCAGTCATTTTATTTAGGTCCTTGGGAGATTCTCCAGGCTTTAGGCAACAACTTTCTCCTTTCTGGCTATGCCTTAATTGTTTCATTCAGGATTGCCTGAAACTCCTAGCTCCAGGGGGAAAAAAATTGTGTTGTTTCCGACTCCCAAGAATGAAAGATTTTACTAAGTAAAGAGAGAGAGAGAGAAAGAGAGACAGAGAGTGTATTTGATCAGTGTGCCTCAGAGTTAGTGCCCTCTTGTTTTAGAAATGCATTTATTTCTGGATTATCACAGCATTGATATTCTGCTTATCTAGCACCAACTAGTGTTATGAGTGTTAACATCACAAAAGTCAGAAAAGAAAATTAGTGAAGACTCAAATCATATTGAGACTATTTGCTATTACCAGAAGTTAATTTATAACGTTTTTTAAACAAATAGTATACTTCTTCCTACACAAGAGTAGAAACTACTTTCATGCATTTATGCATATTGCTGTGGTACAAATAGACAGTTGGCACAAAAGATAACTGAATTTCATTACAATTATATCACATATTTTCTCCATTTTAGGAGCAGAGTAAATTCATAAAATCACATTTGGAATTTGTAGTAAGGAAAAGTATCCTTGCTCAAGGAATGCTTAAAATGCCTCAGAGGACAAACTTTTCAAATCCTTGCAAAGAAGGAAGAACTATTAGATTGTTAACATTCACTGATTCCTTAGTCTTCTGTACTGTGGATACTGGGGATTCAGCACTCAACAAGACAAGTTCTTCGACTATCTCCCATTTTAGTCTCCGAGCTGGATGTCCTGATCAGAATTCATCCTAATCTTTTTTAAGCAACCCCCCCCCCAAAACATAAAGGAGGCATGGGCTCCACCAAGGCAAGCCCTCCTAGCTTATTTAGAATTATTGTTGAGACTTAAAAATAACTGCGCTCTAATGTATGCTCCTTTCTCCAATTGGTGCCAACAGCTAGAGTGTGCTCTGTTGGGCCTGAACTACATTTAGCACTTTTCTGATTTAGGTCATGGCTTTGCTGGAGCAGCAGAGGGAGTCACTCTCAGAAGGAACATTAAAATTACAGGCTGCAACCACTATTATTCCCAATAATAGGGGAAAAGAGTGGGGGTGGGGATTTAGCCAGAGTCCTTGCCTTGTGATTTTAACCTACTTTTTTTTTTTTTTTTAGTTTGACTTGTGTATTTGTGGCAGTTAAAAACAAACCTGGTTACATTTCCCCACAAATTAGAAACCCGTTAGCTCCTTGGGATAGTGTAAGATATTAGAAGTAAAATTCTAAACAAACAATTGTTGTGCACTTATGTCCCAGACTGTGCTCTGTTTGTCAGGGACACAATGTTGAAAGAGACAATTTCAGCCCTCAAGGAAGACACACTTAGAAGCATATAATTATAATGCACTTTCTGAAAAATAACAGTCAGCATAGGTATAGTACTTTCTGGATTCAAGTATCAAAGATAGTGAACATAGGTCAGGGTAAGGTTCTACTGGGAGTAGTGGTGGGGTTTCCAAAATTTCTACACAGAGGACCTTAAGGATGGCAATGTGGTTTGAAGTGGGATGTTCTAATGCCATGTTTGCATTGGAACTGTCTAACTTATGTTAAATCTTAATTAAATTTAATGTATATTTGGTCTGGCTTTGAGGAGGCACAGCTAAGTGTTGTTAGTGGTATGTGCCCATTCTGCCGACTGGCTTAGTGTTTATCAGTGTCTCCTAATCCTGCTTCTACCACCTCCTAATTGTGTTGCTATGGTTATTTAGCTTCATTTGTGCCTCAGTTTCCACCAATGTAAAGTGAAGATAATATATACTACCAGTCTTACTATGATTGAATGAATTAATATATGTAAACTGTTTAGGGCCATGCCTGGCCCACAGAAAGGAAACATTATTCTTTGGCTTCTAACTCTGTAAACCACTGGCAAAGAAATCTAGAAGTTAAAGAAACTGAAGGTCAATAATTTTGAACACGGACTAGGGATTACCGCAGACTCTGCTTCGCCAAAAGCAACAAATGAAGCTGTCTGAGGAGATGTTCCAAAATAGATCACTGCAAACTCCTGGACAGTGATGTGCATGGTTCCTTGAACAGTCAGTCAGGGGGAAGCTCTCTCCCTTCATAACCCCATTTCTTCCTTTCTGCTTTCTCTGGGAAAATTAACCTAATGCCAGTTCTAAAAATGCC